CTGTCACGGTGTCACTGATGCGTGGCCTTCTCGCGGCAGCTGTCAGCTGGGAGCTTCTCGTGGCATGATAGCTTCGGAAAATTTCGAGGTTGTACGTGCGTATCAGCTAAGATTCCCCATCTTAAAAGCATAATAGTGATTAAGTTCCGAATTATACTTAGCTTCAACCATGCATAAGTCTTCCAGAGAAAAGTGATTCTCACACTTGTCAGTTCGGTCCATGCTCATGAAGTTAAGTAACCAATGATGCAGCGATAATGGAGTAGTATAGAAGTGGGGCTGCTGGCACAACAAAGTTACCACTTTTTACGCCTTTGACCCATTAGAATTAAGAACTAAGCAGAGGGCTCGTCTACACTTCCGTCAGTTACGATTTCCTGAAGTTTCAATTGATTCTGAAAACTGAATAGTACAACTTTTTTTTTTTACTTTCTCAGGCGGGGTCCGAGGGACAAAACACCGTAAGGGCTCTTCCGCCGCTAAGAGCAACTCTAGCAGACCTTGCATCCGGTCTCGACCCGCAAAATAACCGCCAAAATACAAGTAGGGACGAAAAACCTGTCCGATCAGACTCCGCATCCCGCCCCGGCCCGCAAAAAATTTTGGGGGGCGCGGCAAAATCCCGACCCCAACCCGGGAATACGCGGGTTTCCCCCTCGCGGCTGCGGTGCCCTGCATCACATAGAAGCAGTTGGCGGGAGGGACATTTCAGCCCGCACGCCTCCCCCCTCCTTCCGCCGCCGACCGCACTTGCTTCCGCCCGTCCGCTGCCGGCGATTCCGACCAAATCTGCGGGCGGAATCGCGCCGTGGGGCCGCCCGACACCCTCCCGCGCCGAGACGCTGCACCGACCCCCCGGGATCCGGCGAGAAGAGCCGCCCTCGTCGCTGCCCCCGCCGGGGATCGACCACCGTCGAGCCCGCCTCCTCGTCGCCGCCCGGGATCACCCGCCGCATCCGCCACCGGTTAGTGCGTATTTTTGTGATTTTTGCGAGCGAGCGGTATAGTTGATTGACTCGCTGGTACGCATGTAGATGGAGTTGAGCCCGTGCGAGAAGTTCTTGCTCTCCGGTTCGTCCGATTCGGATGACTCGGATGTTGAGACCATGCTTGCGAACTTTCGGAAGCAGACATTAGTCATGGCACTTGCCGTGAAGGAGCATGAAGACGAGAACCGGAAGAGAAGGCGAGGATCGACCGTCGGACGTCTTTGCATTCCTCGGAATGGTCATCTTGGGAACGAGATGTTGATGCAAGACTACTTCGCGGAGAATCCTACATATCCACCGCACCTCTTTCGGAGAAGGTACCTAATGCGCCGATCCCTCTTTGTCAAAATTGTTCAAGCTTGCGAGGAAAATTGCCGGTATTTTACTCAAAGAAGAAATGTTGCTGGCTTAAAGGGATTTAGTGCATATAAAAAAATTTCCGCGGCTATGCGGGTGATTGCATATGAGAGGAGAGGTTGGCCTAACATGCTAGGTAGTATTGATTGTATGCATTGGACTTGGAAAAATTGTCCCAAGGCATGGCAAAGAATGTATTGTGGTAAGTGTCGTGATGCAACAATTGTGGTAGAGGCCGTATCATCCGATGATTTATGGATTTGGCATTGCTTTTTTGCTATGCCAGGTACTCTCAATGATATCAATGTGTTACAACGGTCTCATTTGTTTGCTAGACTTGCTAGTGATGATGCTCCTGCTTGCAACTACACTACCAATGGACATGAATACACAAAGGGGCACTATCTTGCAGATGGTATGTACCCTCCTTGGTGCACATTTGTCAAAATCATCAAAGAACCCAAAACTAAAAAACAATATGAATTTGCAAGGGTGCAAGAGGCAGCCTGAAAAGACATTGAAAGAGCATTCTGTGTTTTGCAATCTAGGTTTGCCATTGTTCGTGGTCCTGCTCGTTTTTTGGATAAGAAAACCTTAAAAAATATCATGACATGCTGTGTTATCCTGCACAATATGATTCTTAAAGATGAGAGAGGAATGAACTTGGAATTCTTCTACGACAATGCGGGTAGCCGTGTCAAACCAGTTAGAGACCCTAACCGCATTAGAGCTTTTCTTCAGACATACAAGGAGATTGAAAATGCAAACACAGACTTTCAACTTTAGGAGGATCTCATTGAGTACCATTGGTAAAGGGCTGAACAGTGACTAATTTTTATATTCATTTGTATTTGTATTCATGACAAGTTTTGTATTGCATTATTTAAGTTTGCTACGGTGATTTGAATAATTATTTGTAATATGGATGATTAACGTATTATGTTTAATTTGAATAATTTAGTTTTGTTTTCGATTGTTGTATTATGTTGGACTTGATATTTGCGGGCCGATGAGATGCGGGATGCAGCGGCGCAAAGAGCAGACCCCGCAAAGCCGATTCGTAAAAAAACATATTTCACGAATATACTTTTTTACGGATCTGTTTGAGGGGTCTGCATCTGTGGCCGTCCGCGCCGGCCCGCAAAGATCATTTTGCGCGAACTGCAAACATATTTTGCGGGCTGGCAAGATGCGGAGTCTGCTAGAGTTGCTCTAACTTTATAAGAAATCAAATCTTCGAACTATAAGATTTTTTTTTTTGCAGTGAACATCACAAGATCTTTGATACCTGCCGGGTCCGTCACAACGGCTACACTGAACATGATCAGAGTCATGAGACTTTTATATCGTGCAACTCGCCTACACCAATGAGATTGTGCCATGTGAACAAGAGGAATGACAAATCCGCAGTTGGAAAAAGAAATGCATACTTCACTCTAAAAAAATTATCTAGGTTTCTCTACCCCCTGAAGCCGAAAATACTACTAGAGGCAAGGCCAACTGGCATGAACAACGTGGAGCAAATAGGGGAGCAAATAACCTAACTCGCTGGCGGCTAGGGTCTCCAGTCACTATTGTCTCTGTAAGCTCAAGTTTTATTGCCCAATTGCAACGCCAAGGTTTTTGTCAGAGCGAACATGTGTGGAGTCATTTCTAATGAACCTTTTTGTTTATTGTATTGCTATTCAGCCGATTGAGTTTTCTTTTTTGAAATATCAATCAATTTCTAAAAAGTGCAGTTTCAGTTTAGTTAAAAAATAGAGTGAATTCTGGTTTTTACCCTCTATTTTGATGTTTTTGACACTAATTACCCTATTTAGCAGGATTTCATCCATTTTACCCCATTTAGCAAAAGTTTTGCCACAATTTACCCATTTTAAAATTTTGCGAGCATTCTGATGAGCAGGTCCCAATTGTTAGGTCCACCTAGCATGCCCCATCAACAGTTTTTACCTACCTATTTTTCTCCACGTTGAACCAGTCCTCGCAGCTTCGCTCGACTGGGCTGGCCTGATATGATCGCCAGAGCAGGTCGCTCGCGTCCAACGCACAAGGCGTAAGTTGGGCCGCACCACTCTGGCCTCCAATATTCATAGCACACATTGTTCGCCTTCCTTCGAATCACACACACGCTGCAAACAAAGAAAAAAAAGGATTTCAACAATATTCAAAATGGTGAAAAAACTTTAAATCAATGTACGTCAGTTATAGATGGGTGATATGTATACACGTGATCTTCTAATAAGCATTTTAATTCTGTCTGAATCAAACGCCTCACCGGCCAATGCATGAGTCAGGAAAACTTCATAATACACATATGATGGAGATGGTCAAAATCATGTGGAATGGGGTACGACGTGAGGGCTTGCTTGTTCACCAACCTCGCTGATTTGTTGGACGAGTGGCCCCCATAGATCTACAACCGAGCACAACCTGATGGGGGTATGTACATGGACGCGCCCACGCCGACGCCGGCGAGCTTGATGGAGCCGGATTCCACGGGGTCATTTCTTGCCTTGATGTCACGACCATATATAACGCCGCTCGAGGAGGTATGAAATCATGCCGCTGCCGTTGCCTGACAATCCCTAACCATAAGTTCGAGCGAGCCTGACGGGTACGTGTGGGCAGAAGCCTGGACGGGCGATGCAATCTATTAGGCGTGAGTAAGGAGCGTGGTCGACTCAGGCATTCTGCATTGGACGAGACGCGAGTGACCTCCATCGGGCCGGTCCGGTCGGGAGAAGCCGTGAGGACTGGTTCACGAGAGAGAAAAATAAGCAGGAAAAAACCATCGATGTGGCATGCCAGCTAGACTTCACAATTGGGACATGTCTGCCAGAACACTCATGAAATTTTAAACAGGGTAAATCGTGGCAGAACTTTTGTTAAATGGGGTAAAATGGATGAAATTTCGCTAAATGGGGTAAGTAGTGTCAAAAATGTCAAAATAGGGGGTAAAAACTGGAATTCACTCTAAAAAATAATTACTTACAATTGAAACTTTTTGTTCAATACACATGTTTGCTAGAGATGCTCTTACTGGACTAAATTCTACTCCCTCCATCTTAGAGTTGTATGAAATCGAAGACACCTATTTTGGGACGGAGGGAGTAAATAGTTGTTGATTTAATGGACCACGATATGTTTTTCCTGAAAACAAATAGGTTTCCAACAAGAGAATAAACCTATAACTCTAATGAGTCTCTGTCATAGGGAAGCAGAACCCGATGGAAGTACTTTTTTTTCATGAAGTTTCCAGAGTATCATACTTGAGCATGTCAAATCAAGGAGATCAGCAAATTCATGGAGAAACGAGAAGCATAAATTGTCCACTCCTCGTAAAAAAAGCCGAATCTTAGCACCGAAGTTTCAGCAAACAATCGAGCGACATCATTTTATTTGGCAACAGATACAAAAGTTTTGCCTCATCCATCAATGAAGGAATAGAAACAAGAGTTCAAAAAAGGAAAAAAAGATTACAACAACGTCATTACTCTGCTAGTATAATTTGCCACCAAATTTTACCCCGCGGTTGGCCAAAGGCCAGTGACATGATTTCATTTTCATCGACGCCATGTATAAATACACAACTAAACGATTATCGTGGGTCTTGAGCATGTGTCTAGGCTTGCAGCCAGCATGGTCAGTTGGTCACTGGTCCTCTTTGAACATCATTACCACGGTACACACCGGGCAAGACTGGCTTCTCTCCATCCACGCGTAGATGCAACCAAGATGGAAATCATGGTTGCATTGCAGCAGGATCTTCGGATTCTCGTAGTCATACTCTTCGAGGCATATCGGGCAGTCATCCTCGTCACAATCAACACAGACTTGAGTTCCCCCGGGTTTCCCCCCTCCCGGCGGAGCTTCCAGGGACGACGGTCCATCAGCCTTCTCATCACCATCGTCAGTCGATCCGGTGTCAGCATTGCTTCTCTCTCCGAGCAGAATAGATTTCTCCGTGGGATGCCTGAACCGAGGATCATCGTAAGGCAAAGGCCTAGGAGGGGGGCGGAAGGTGTTCAATGGATCCTCCTGGCCTGAGCCGGTGGAGGCCTCGGGAGGAACCGGCGCAACCCGTGTGTACGCTCTGGCTGGCCATGGCAGGCAGGCGCAGCAACCCGGCGCCTCGTCGTCGTCGTCGGGGCCGCGCAGGCAGCACAGGATGGACCCCATCTGGCTGGCCGATCGAGCTTCGTCTTCTACCCTGCAGACCAGACGGAGGAACCAGCAGTACGGGCCTTCTAGAGTTCTAGTTCAACCTATCCTCGGACTCCCTTGCTCCCCGGCCGCCGAGCACAAGCACTTGGAAGGGCCGATCGGTGGCAATTTATCCAAGGGTTGGAATCCGATTCTGGCGCTCTGAATCCGGTTTAGGCTCCTTTCCTCCCTTTCTCTCCGAAGCCGGACCGCGGTGGAAGTACCTAGGTCGATCATCCTGCCGGCTAGCACGAGGACTATCCAGTGAGACCGCAATAGTCGAAGGTGTCTTTTGCAAAGGTATAGACTGAGCAAGACCATATCCGACGTGGACTATCTTTGCCCTGCAACGCACAGTACAAACAACTTATGAGGACATGTACAATAGTTGATAAGATAGTTTTATTTTAAGTTTTGTATTTAAATTAGAGATGATAAAAAAACATGTCTATAATGGGTCATCTCTTAGTCTTATCTTCAATAATTAGTTGTTGCTAAAAATATGATGAGACAAATTATGCTAAGAGATCATCTCTTATCTTCTATTAAATAAGATAAGATAAGCCTTCTTTTATGATTTCTCTTTTTTTCACCTCATCATTTATTCTACGTGGCACTCTTAAGATAAAATTATTGTACATGCCCCGAGAAAACTAGTACATGGATAACTAAACCGCATGCATGTCCAAGTTGTGAAATCATCGGTGTAATCTCTACTGAGTTTTGCCCGCAAAAAAATTAAATTCTCTACCGAGTTGATTTCGTCGCCTCCACCTCCTATCCTGATTTTTCCTCCCACGTTCCCTTTCCCCCTTTGTTTCCTCAATAGGTTTTTCTGATAACCCCAACCAAAATAAAAACAAATATAAATATATTAACTTAGAATAATCTAAATCAAGTGGATACTTTCTCAAAATCACTTCTTGCATTAAATCAATCAAATGAAATCAATCTTATCAAAATCTCAAGCCTCAGGAATCTTGTAGGAATTTCATAGAGTAGGATTTCTATAAAAATATTCTTTAAGAGTCCTTTGGTTTGTAGGAATGGAATCCTATTCCTATAAAGAAATTATTCTTATCCTTCATATTTTATAGGAAAATAAATATTAGCCTAGATTCAATGGAAAAAATCCTATGATGTGAATCAAAGGTCGTCTCTTTCCCTATTCCTACTCATAGGATTTGAGATACATGTCATCTCATTTCCTACGACTTTCCTGTTCCTACGATTTTCCTACCCTATGAACCAAAGGAGGCTTCAACCAAGTCAAAAACTTTCCTTGCCCTATTCTACCCATACCTCATCAAATTAAATATTACCAAAATTGATGTAAGGTATATATTGAACAAAATTGTTGTAGAACGCTTAGAGTACGACCATTTTTATCCATTTCTCCGACAAGTATTTCCGGATGGAGTGAGTACTATATAGTCTTTCTATGCTCCGTCCCCAGGTTCACGGAGACACCTGTTCGCTTTCTTTTCTTCCCCTCGAAGAGAGAAAAGACGATCTCGTTGCTGCCAGGAGTCTCCCCCATCATCGCCCTCCGGCGGCTCCCCTCAGCCGCCGACCTTAATCATCGGTGGTGTGGGGGTCACCGGATCCACGCGTGTGGATCATTTTTTACTCTCATCGTTTATGTTTTTAGGTTGTTCATTGTTTTGGCTTTGGCGGCAGCGGTGGCAACGCTGAGTAAAGTTCCTTCAGATCCTACTCCGACGAGGCGATCAGTCCTATGGTTGGGATGGATTTGGAAATCAGTCTGTTTGAGCAAGAATGGCGTGGCAGCGACGACATCCTTGTTGTGGACATGTGTCCTCGGGCTCCGCCGAGCTTGGGAGGTAGTTCAGGAGCGGATGCAGATTGTTGTCTGCATCGGCGGCATCTGGAAGATGATGGGTAGTGTGGTGAGTTTGTGGTTCGTGGATGATAGGTATGGTTTCTGCTCCGATGTCTTAGTCCCGTGGGGGTGCTGGATTTGGAGTTCGATGGCGTGTCCGCGGCGTTGCCCCGATCTAATTCGTTGAACGGTAATGGTTCGCCTTTGGTGAACCATCTTAGAGGTCTGCAAAGCTGCATATCAACGGTGGAGGTGCATCGAGCTCGGGGGTGAAGGTGATCCATCATTTTTCTTCCTTTGGCGCCTGTTGTGGTGGTGCTAGAGGCAGGGGGTGGACATTGGTGTCAAGCTTAGAGGATTCTTCGGTCTTGATTGTATTTTTACTTTTTGGCTGGTGTTCCTTTGTGTAAAGAATAGCGTTTTGCCATCTTTTCAGTTTTGCCGGGTCGGTGTGTACGTGACTTGTACTTCCTCCGTTTCTTTTTAGTGTGCATATAAAGTTTGGTTAAAGTCAAGCTTTGTACCCACACACTCACCGACGATGCTATTGACGCACCACCGGGACCGGGGCTAGGCAGAGAGAATCTTATTTCATTTTTAGGGGGCCGTTGCCGTCTCATCTTTCTGAGCGGGTCACAAACCCTAATATAACTCGAAGGAACATATAAAAACATAGTCGGTACCTAATTAAACATAATTGGTACTATGCTAAAAGTTCCTTTTGATATCTAGATTTTTGAAACAAACAATCTATACCGAATGCATGGAGTTATTCAGACAACAGTAGAGCATGTGCTCGAGATGGCATATGTCTCATGATTTTCACGTCTCTAGCTACGCGCAGTCTCCCAATCCACTCCATAATGTTTGTCGTGCAGAATCACTATATTGATAGCCTCCACACGTGTATGAAGCACGCTCCATTAACATAAAACAGAGTACATTTCATAAATTATGACGATTCTAACATGTACGGTGAATCTACTAGAGTGTTTTTCTTTTGTCAGAATCGCCATATGATGATCGGGTCAGTATGGCGACTCCACTAGAGTTGCTTTTAGGGCATCTTCATTGGCAATCATCAAATATACGTTGACAAATGTCCGCGGAAATCCGGTGGGGTGCCGGCCATTCAATGCAATATCTCAAAATGCCTCACATTTTGAACATTTCAAATAGGAAATTCAGACGATGGCTTAAAATGCCTCACATTTCGAACGTTTCAAATAGGAAATTCAGACGATGGCGGGTCCTGTGGCTCTTCTTCGGCGTCCGCAATGACGGTTGGCGGCGATGCAAGCCCTAGGCGGCGGACGGGCTTGACTTCTTGCCACGACGGTGGGAAGCACGGGAGTGACGGTTATGGGCTGCGCCAACGGTCACGTCAGGATGCCTTCCATGGCATTCCGACGGCTGGCGGTGTCATGAGGCGATTCGGGTTCCCGCCGCAATGTTTTTTATTTTTGGTCCGCCTTTAGTGGATTGGTATATTTACCAATTCTACCAAATTTTAGGCTATAGACCAAAACTTTTTGATCCCCGTGCAAATTTTGGTCTGTTGTTGAAGCTGATTTTTTTTGCTCAAAAGAACAAAAAAGGAATCTGGTTTTTGTTTCGGCCGTTGAAGATGCTCTTAGATTTTGCCTCCATTGCAGCGCGAAATCAAAGGCGCTGCTAGAGAGCAGATCGAAGGAAACCAGGAGAAAAATTAGGGGGTGTTTGTTTTCAAGGACTTTTTGTGTAGGGACTAGAAAAAATCCTTCTTAGAGACTTTTTTTACCAAACGGGAGGGACTTTTCAGGGACTAAATTAGGCATTTGGGACTAAATGAAGAAGACTCTCAAGGAGAGTCTTTTTTGGGACTTTTCCAGCAATGCCCTCCATGCATTTAATGGCCCGCCACCCCAGGGTGTTGTTTGATTGTTATTTTTCTATATACTAGAGGCAATATGGTCATTTAATAACCTCTAGGAAGAGACTAGGGACTTTTTAGTCTCTGCAAATAAACAGGAAGAGATTTTTTAGGGACTCGAGACTTTTTAGTTGGGATTAGAAAAAGTCCTAGGACTTATGAACCAAACAGGGGATTCGAGACTTTTTAGTTGAGATTAGAAAAAGTCCTATAATTTATGAACCAAACAGGGGCACGAAGCACCGAAGCAAAGCTGAGTGGGTGTCCCGCTTCCCCGAGATAGATTGCGCCGTCTGCAGCCATAGGCCGTCCTGTCCCCGTGGATTGCTGCTCATACGTCTGGCCAATGAAAGACAACAGGGCCGACACCAACAACGTCGTCGCAGCACCACCAGACCAGTCGATCGTCGCTCGCGCTGCCAGACATGGTATTTTATCAGTTGGTTGCGGCGTCCCGATCGCAGCGGCACGGCAGGCACTGGTATATACGGATCCGTGCCGAGAGGGACTAGTAATCCCGCACACGTGCTGGTCTAGTCAGCACAGGAAGATAATACAAAACCCTACAAATTTTAAGAAACATACTGTGTGTTGTGTACTGATGTATTTTTTTTCTTTTGTCTATCTATATACAATTATACATGCAGTTCTCCTGCATGGTTTGAAAAAAAACAAAGGTGGTTAATGTTTTCAAAATTTGACTAGACATATCCGGGACAGAGTAACAATCATATTTAAAAGGGTAAAAAACATCGGAGAACCTAAACTTATTTTTGAAGGTACCAAGGCCCTAATCCTTTTCTTTTGACGGGCCAGGGGCCCTAATTCGGAAGAAGGCAAAAAATGGAAGAAAACGAGAGCAGGAAATCTGCTTCAGCATCCCAAGAAACACATGCTAGCACCATTCTCCAACACAATACAATGCAATTATGCACTTGGAACCAACGACCCCAGATAATGCGTCTCAAGACGATAGTGTCTTATTGCTTGCATTATGCAGTTCTGGACAGGATGGCATACCAGGGCCTGATCATCGATGTCCACTGGAGAGTCAACGGCAGCTCCCTCCATCCGGCTGAGATAGATCCACCGCCAAAGCTGGTTTGCCTTGCTTCCGAAGTTTCATCGATGCACGAGCTGCCCAGCTCACCTGCAGGTGATACCCCACCAGATCTGCATCACACTGAAGCCCTTCATAGATCATGAGCGGTCAGGCTAGGCTGTCTGCACAAGTTTCAGCCGCAGAAGCACAAAAACGTCCCTGTTCATGTAGCATGCAGTAAGCTTGAGCTGCTAGATTGACAAGTTGATTGGGCTGGCTGGACCATCATTTTTGCTTGGGATAAACGGGCTAGGATGGTCACATCATGTTTACACGACCCACAAAATTTCTGAATTATTTCCACTGCAGTATCAGAATCTAGGCCAAGCTAAGGATGGGCGGCTCAAAAGCTGAAAATTTCCTACAGCCGCATAATTTACAAGTTGAGAAACTTATTCAGGGAAGGGGAGCTCCCCACTGTCATATTCTCACTGCTTCAACTGTCAATATTATAACATCTGGCAAGGCACATATGGAATCATCATCAGTGCGGTGAAGCGACCTGCATGATAAATGGAGCAAGCGAATTAATGTACTGGACAACAGTATCGGAGGCATGCCGAACGTATGGGGATATATCTAGGTTTCAAGTCAAACTGTTTGACCAAAAAGAGCTATGGTGCTCTCAGGTGTCACCACAAGCTACTTCTAAAATCGTACCTCGACCGAGGTACTCAAAAGAGTAGAATGAGAATCGCATTCGGCAACGAAAAAGCAAAAAGGAAAATTACGCCAGGCAGCAATATTTTATTTAGGAAATACATTTTGTCATGAGCTCATTTATGACTCATTTTCCATTACAATGAAGTGGACAAAATGAACAAGAGATCAAGACTTGGCTTATCATAGTCCATCTTGAGCAGCTTAGAGAAACAAATAATGTGCATCAGATCAGCGATCCCTTAACTCACACGGTTAGCTCACGTTGGTGCTCCAACTCTCAAAAATCAAAATGCACATTTAGCTCATTAAAACTTGCCAAAGAGGTTCATTCACGGTCCAAATCATGTCGAGCTATCCCCGGCCCCTTACATGGTCAAACGAATTTATCCACGTGGTATCCTAGTCAGCATAAGCCCACATGCCACACTCTTTGTTCTCTCTATCCTGAGTATCCTCACGGCCTCAAGCCCAACGCTGGCAAGGCCATGTTGCCCCATCGCTAGAGCACGGGTCCTTTGGCACACCCCTATCGCCACACCCGCCGACTGTGACCTCCCTCCATCAGCCACCCATCTCATCTAGGCTGCGTCATCTTGCAGACGCTTCATAGGGCACAGCGGCCCCTCCTCTTCCAGCAGCTTTTCCACACATATATGGCCACAGGGCCATCCTCAGTGCCTTCCCTGTACATTGCAGTGGCACCTCCTTCCCTTGATGTCTCCTTGATGCGATCAGATGACGACTTGTCTCCTGGTAAGCACATGGGCCACAACGCCGAGCTGCAGCATCTAAACTGTGAGAAGCATAGAAGGTGCCACCATAAAGGCCTGTGTACACGCCTGTGTCCATACAACCTCAGCCATCGGGTCATGCTCCTCCTCTTGTCCTGAATATGCAGAGATTCTTCACTGAAGGACATGTATGTGTGGATGATGGGGTATTGACTCTGATTTCTCCTCCCCCCATCGGTTCAGAGACAGATCTATTTGAGGTTTTCTATGTGAGATGATGTCCGTGGCTTTGCATGGTTTCATGGTTCTCCTTTAGTTTCTCTAACCATGAATGAGTTCTGTGATGCGTGAGTATGTGGCTTGGCTCGAAACTATGCGCTATCCTGATTTGGGAAGCTTCCGAATGTTTCCAAAAACTAGTGTTTGGATAGAGGTTTGCTGGTGCTGTTTGGTTGGACAGCTATCGTGGCGCTAGAGATGGCGGTGCCAATTGTGGCCATACAAAGCTGCTCGCATGCAGCCACTGCCAACTAGGATGCCATGTGGTTACTGTCTACATGTCACATACTCCCTCCTTTCTGGTTTATTGGGCCTATCTCATTTTCTTGGTTTTTCCGTTTTCTTAGTCCAACTTTCATTTCTCTCCATCACTTTTTTACATTCCGAGGCGCATTAATCTGATGCATGCAAGAATAAAAAGAAACCAACCAATGCATGTAACCATTTCTACTCATTTAGTGGTCACAGACGCATGCACCGTAGTTAATGTAGATTAAAGCTTGAGTTTTGTAAAGTACGAGATACATTCCTCCACTCAAACCATCCACCTTGGTTGATGAGATTTCAGATTTGAGCCCTCTAAACCGGAAGGGAGGGAGTATGCAGTCAACACTAGCCCAACACAATTTGGACCTCCGGTGAATCCCTTTAGCAAGCGCAGGAGTCAATTGTACATTTTCAGAGTAGGAGACTAAAGTGAGCGCATCATGCAAGTTGAAGCACCGCAGATGCATTTTACTACATGAAGAATATTAAATCATGTTGTTATACTTTCATTAGGAGCTTCTATGAAATGGGTTCTCATGCATATTGGAAAGCGATGTGTCCTGCATTTGATCAAGAACTTATATCAGCGACAATGAATAAATGAAATTCATTTTCCACATAAGAATGTGAGAGTTGAGAGTTAATTACTTGAATCCTTGCATTGATGCTTTGGAGCCCATGGTGATTTGCAGAAGGTACAGAGACATTTAATGATGACCTGTTATCGTTTGCTGCATGGCCTTGGCTGTCTTCATCTGTAGACTTGGCAGTCCTTCTCCATCGCTTCAACAGGTATATTTGAGGCAACTCCTTGATATTTCTGTAATCAAGCACCTTCAACATGTGACAACATGAAATACCCATAAACTCAAACTTCTTACAAGTGCACATACAAGAGTTATCACTTGAGTTGAATCTAACAAAGTGTTCCTTGGGCTTTTCAGAAGGAGCAACTTTGTAGTCAGAAGTCGTTCCGGCCTCTCCACAAGTGAATAACACAGAGTCCATAAACAGTTCAAACTCTTTACGAAAGATCTCAAACACCACTGGTGTGTATGTATGGGAAGTTTGCTTTAACATCTTGGCTGGGGGTATTCTTGGATAACTTTGACTAGCTTGGAAGTCAGCTTGGAGCTCAGCGTAGCGATGCTCATCTACTGCTCTTTCATAGTGTTTGAAGAAGGATAGCAGATCCAGTTGAGGGCTCAAGAATTTCTTCAAAATGCTACTAAAACTCTCAGCTTGAAGGGAACTTATTATGTCAGCACAAAATATATGCCTATCATATGCCAATGCCCATCTTTCCCTTTCTTCAAACAGTTTAGACAGCCACTCATTATGTCTAAGATCATACTTTTCTAGCATACTTCTCCAAGCAAACACGAATTCTTCCTCTTCCTCATAGCCAAAGACACATTTGCTAAAATCCTTTGCAAATGTCTTTGAGCCTTGGAAAACTTGATTCAGGTGCTTAACAGAATTCTGATATATATGCCAAGCACAAACTCGTTGAGCAGTATTTGGCCAGGCAGCTGCCATTGCACTACTCAACTGAATCGATTGATCTATTAAAGCTACCGCTGGTTCTTTTCCATGCATTGCTATCTTAAAACTCTCAAACAGCCACTTATATGACTCAAATGATTCATCATAAAGCATAGCTGCACCAAAGATAATTGTTTGTCTGTGATGATTCACACCAAGGAATAATGCCAATGGCCTGCCATATCCATTTATCTTGTAAGTTGTGTCTACACATAGTACATCATTGAAGTAGGTGAAGTCCTCTCTAGATTTTGGGTCTGCCCAAAAGAAGTTGGTTAGTTTGTCATCCTCATCAATCTGCATGGTATAAAAGAACGAGGGGTTATCCATTTGCATGGTCTGCAAATATTTTAATATGGCTCCACCATCACCAGGTTGCATTGCCTTCGTGCGCTTTGACCGAAGATAATTCTTGTAATCTGCTGGGAGGAGAGAAATACTTCGAAGGAAACCAACTTGTCTCACAACAAGATCACCAGTTGCTTTTGTGGTTGGTGTCACTACGGAATCATCTGACAGTTCTGCTTCCCCAGACTGAAGTTCTGTTAATATCCTTTGTGACCTTAACATATGCATCGTCGAAGGAGGGGCCAGCTGATGATTGTGCTCTGCTTTAAAATCAGTGACCCTGTATTTACACTCTGGTGTGACTTTAATAATCAGCCGTGCTGGACAGCCAATTCTTGTATCCAACCTTGGTTTCTTTGCCTCCAACGATTTTTTATCCCTGTTGTAACCCTCTCTTGAGCATACAAAAGTCCTTACTTTGGTAATATTTTCAGAAGATTTATGTGACGTGCTTTTTCGAACACTAAAGCCAACATGCCCAGCATATTTATTGTAGAATTCATATGCTTTTTCCTCACTCTCAAATTCCATGTCCACCTCAGGAACAAGCTTAGCAAGTGAAGCCTCATCTATAGGTGGTTCAGCTTCTATCATTCTTCTCATTTTACCCTGGAGAAGTAATCATACATAACTTCAGTAAAAGGAATACATTTAATTGTACCAGAACTTTATCTGCACACAGAACAGGATGAAAATGGCAAAGATATCAGCATGCTAGGGCCAACATGTTAAATTTCAAGACTGGTATGAAGCGCCATAAGGTGTTCGAACATAATATACTAAACACTGGATCAGGAATTCCTTTTTGGAAACGAGTTAAAATTGCCCAAGGGTAGCAGGAAGCCAAACAACTAGACACATGGAACTGTTACATCCTTACAGGCAGCAATGGTTCCTTGTAGCCACTGATTTTAACATAATTCCCAGAAGTTTAAATTTCAGCATTCAAGGGGAAGGGTAGTTCTTATGTAGCATTAAACTTGGTATAAAAACAGCAGCAATAACACGGTTTCGGAAAATTGGACTTGGCTAACCATATGCTAGCTCTTTGCCTGGCTACTACAATATCTCTTAGGAGTTAGGCTCACATTGCGAAAAGATTCACAGAATACACAACACAAGAAAACGGTTATAGGATGATTGACTCAGGACATAAGATTGCGGTTTCACCTTCCTGTAAGCGATGCCACAAGCGTTGCAAAGAGTTCTCGGGCCATCAGGGCCACGTCGCATATGGGGTGTCGCATTACCCGATATACCGCATCGCAGGCACCTAATCAAATACCAGAAAGTTGTCAGAATGATGATAAGTGCAAACATAGAGCTGAACTGAAGCCAATTCTGCAACACGAGAAGCAAAAACAACTGAACTTGAACAATTGGACTGTAACTGTTTGTTTCGTCAGCATCAAACTGGAACACCGCCCAGAGGCAAGACCATTTCGCCGGTCAACAGCATCCCCAACGTCGAGCAAGCAAGTGATAGCGGAAGCACTTGGGCACGCACGTACCGGACGTGGCCGTCGAGGCTGTCGTCGGCGGCGTTGTCGCGGTGGAGCTCCAGCTCCTGCTCCGCCGGCACGGCGGCGTACGGGTGCATCTCCCCTCCGCCTCCATCCGAGGCCACCAGCATGTGCATCATGGCATCACCACCCTGCCACGGCGGCCACACTCACATGAAGAAAATTCACCAAAGATGCCGGAAAAATGGGGAAAAAATTAGTCGAATTCGTACCTTGGGAAGCACCGGCGAGTGATTTGGTAGGAAATTTCGTACGAATTTTGGAAAATCTCTTGGTTTGCAGGAATCGGAGCTAGGGTTTGGAGCCAAGCGGATGAGCGGGGTCGGGATGGGGAGGGGGTGCTGGGATCCGATGCGGCGGCGCGGTAGGTGGCCTCGTGTGGTCTCATCGGCCGCCCGACACGTGTACGCTCCGGATCTCACATGGGCTTACCCATCCCCCCTCCGTCCTCACTGACACAACGGCCCGTGGACCCCG